AAAAAATAATGTTCTGTCAACTGCTTGATGGTACTATATAAGCACATATCTTCCTCATTTCCATTATTTCATCAATACTAGCAACTCATATCCCACAGCTGTTCTGCGGCTTGGTAAAATGTGACTTCGCCCTTACCAGTTAATATCATTTATCTCACCATACTGTTGTTTCAATGACCAGGTCTCCAAACCAACTACATTGGGCTGAACCACAATAAACTGTGGGGCCAGTGATTCTTAGGGTGCTTTGTGAACATGTATGGCAGGGGTAGTCAACCTTGGCTCTTTTATGACTCGTGGACTTCAATTCCCAGAATTCCTGAGCCAGCTTAGCTGGCTCAGGAATTCTGGGAGTTGAAGTCCACGAGTCATAAAAGAGCCAAGGTTGACTACCCCTGATGTATGGTATATATGCTTTGTTTTCCCATTCTGAACTGCTACAGTGGAGGGCTTTGTACCTAAAACAATTCATAGAGAGGTTTGAAGTTACTATGGTTCCCATAGGCTCTCATTGGAATTGTAGGCCAATTGTAGGAAAGTGTGGGCAAGATGGAGTCTGGAAGAGCCCATCAAACCACTTTTCAATTACAGAATTCTCAGAAGTAGGAGCTTTTACAATAGCATTGATTTTTCTCTCTCGAGAATATGTCGTTGCCCCTTTCATCTCCCATGAAGGCAGCTGAGCCTGCTTTCTCTGCTGCTTCATCGTTCCCTTAGGTTTCCATTGTCAGTCATTCTGGCTGTTCCACTGCTCTACTATATTTCTTTGTGCCCCCTTGCTCATCCCAGAGTCCAGCATTTTTATAATACTTAATAAGTTTCCAGCAAAATGTCATGGTGGGATAACATGGAGAAGAGAGAAAACTACTTGAGAGCTGTGGTGGTGCAGTGGTTAGAATGCAGTATTGCAGGCTAACTCTGCTCACACTGCCAGGAGTTCGATTCCTTTGATCCTGACCGGCTCAAATTTGAATCAGCCTTCTATCCTTCCGAGGTTGGTAAAATGAGGACCCAGATTGTTGGGGGCCATATGCTGACTCTGTAAACCACTTAGAGAGGGCTGTAAAGCACTGTGAAGTGATATATAAGTTTAAGTCAGGGGTCTTCAAACTTGGCCCTTTTATAACTTGTGGACTTCAACTCCCAGAATTCCTCAGCCAGGCATGCTGGCTGAGGAATTCTGGGAGTTCAAGTCCACAAGTCATAAAAGGGCCAAGTTTGAAGAGCCCTGGTCTAAGTGCTATTGCTATTGCTACTACTCTGCTTAAAATCTGGGTTCTATGCTGGGTAAACAGGGTGCCAAGGAGGTGGAGCACTCAGCCTGAAGACATGCAAACTGTAGCATTCTCCCTACACACTTCCTGCCAATGCAAGACTAGACACTCATGAAAGGGAGCAACATCATGTCCTTTCTTCTCCTCAAGCCAGGGTTCTCTTCCACCATACCCTTGCTGCGATCTGTCAGGGTGGTGGTGTCACATGATGGCCTGGACTGAAACATTCCTCTATGACTGTATAGTTCTCTGTGAGTAGAAGAACATGCCTGCGTATTCAAGCATGACAGGCAGGAGACACTTTGCTAATTACATCTGTGTAAGATGGGGTGATGATTGCCTCAGGAATGCAGCTTTGGGTCCCTCTGTCCCTTACAGCTCAAAACTTGGCTTGTAAGAAGGCAATCTTGCTTCTAAAATCTAATCTGAAAAATGACCAACTCTTTCATAATTCATGTTTTGAACATTCGCTGTATTTCCAAATGCCATATGTCAGTTGCAGTCCCTAGGACGCATACTAGTATGATTCATTGATTCCAATAAGATGTGACTGCATTTTAGAAATTCAACAATACTAGCTTATGAATTAGAATAATTTAACATAGGACAGAAACATAAGCAGGGAAGACTCTATGCTTTGCACTGAAATCTAAAATATCTGAATACCTAAGCACCAAGTATATAGGTCTACACTGGTGCCTCAATTTGATTATTTTACAAAACAGTTCAAGAAGTCCATTATAAGTCCTTTAAAAAGATCCAAACTCATGGAAAACTTCACTGTCTAAAAAGGATTTCTTTGTAAGAATTTCTGTTTCCACCTATACATCATAGTTCATGACATGTCCTTTGTTTCAGTGTCTCCTCAGTCCTTGTCTGCTTGGAACTGAAAGCTTTATATAGTTTATCTTCAGTGTGCTGGAGTATAACGAGTCTAGTGGGAACACTTTGTTTTTGGATTCTTGACTGCTTCTGTAATTTCTTCTGCTTCTAGTTCCTCGGCAGTTGCACATACATGGACCACAACACTTGGAATAGTTTCAGTTCCTGCATAATGTTCATATTAGTCCCCTAACATTTATTCAAAAACAGCAAAGGACAATTTGTACATTTGATAATACAACATGCACGTTTTCCTAATGCCTTGCACATGACCACTAACTAAATAAAATGGAGGTTCAATAACATGTGGTTATGGATTATAGTTGGCTATTTGCCTTTTGCTGATGACTATATCCTGACAGTCCATGGCTGGACTTATGAAAGATCACTCTGTGCTGGTAGAGAAGCCAATCTGAATTTTTGCATGGAGGTACAACCAAGATAAGAAATGGTTGTATGAAATCAAACCAGATATGATTGAGGGCCAATAGATAGGTGAAGAAAGATCTTCCACCCTCCCCCCCCCCCACACAAAATTGCTGTCTGATGAACAGCCTGCTGTTCCTTCCTGTGGCTCAACACCTTCCAGATGCCTTGCAAAGGGAAAGGAAGTGGTGAGGGCTCACAGTCATGAAGAGAACTGCCACCTATGTTCATCCTGCCATAGGATGATATATATATATACCTGCCTGTCCAGCACCTGAGGCTTCACAGCACAGAATAGTTGTGCTGTGCAGCATAACATATACATTATCTCATCACACAGAAACTATCTCTGGTGAATTTAAATTGGAGTAGGAGGTGAAGGAAGATTCCAGCAGCCTGTGGCCTACAGCAGGAGGAGGCTATCATGCTATGAAGATCAGTGCTGGGCACATGTATCAATACCCATAGCTTGGCAGTCCTTCCAACATGGCTGATCACAGTCACTCACAACTTTCTTCTGGTTGGGAACCTTGGGGGCTAATGGGCAAGGGATGGTTGCCATGATGTTTGCAAAAGGGTCAATTGAAGTCCCCCTTGAATTACTATGTATGGATCTGCAGCCTATCAGGTAAGAAACCTATGGACTGAAGAGGAGGAAAAGGATCTATTGGCCAGCACGGTCTTGAAGCTATATACCATAACCTTTACTTAGAATCATAGAATCATACTTTTTCTGGGATGGCAGCACATTGCAGTGAGGAAGCCTTGTTGTGTATGGAATTCAGAGCACTGAGGGATTTCAGGAGCTAATAAGAATATATCGCTGTCTAGCAAGAATGACCGTTACAACCTGCAAATATGGTCCCATCAGGAAGCCATATTGGAAACTGTGTATCTGCAGAGGAAGTTCTGTACAAAAGGGCAAGGTTTGGCACTGTTGTCAAGCAACGAGTAAGTTTGCACTATTGCAACTGACAGCATAACTTAGTAAGGCTATGGGGCTGATTGTAGAACAAGAGAAAACCTCTAAAATTGGCCTTCATTCCAGTTGGGGGTAGCTTTACCTGTGATCTGTGATGTTTGAGGGGAATGGAAATTTAACAACCAATCAGGTGCCCTGACACAGTGCTGCAATCTGGAGAAGAAAAATGCACAGGCTTTCTGAGCTCATAGACAAGGGACAATGTGCAGGCAAGTAGAGATCAAGCACCTTCTCCATCTGGCACCTCTATTGGGATGCCCTAAGTGTAGATTTGGCCTAGAAATTTCTCCCCCC